CCCCTGCCTGTAGCCGCTGGGCTGCACCATGTCCTGGTGTGGGCAGCTGGCCCCAGCAGCTCCTGGCACTCACCCCAGGCAGCTGCCGCCAGAGTTGGGGAGCTGCTGGCACCAGTTGCCTGCACCAGGACACGGTGCAGCCCAGCGGTTACAGGAAGCTGCAGCCGGGGCTGTGGCGAGTACTGTGGCCCGCGCTGCCCGGGGCTCCACTTGTCCGCAGTCACCGCAGCCCGTGCTGGAGCGGCCAACACCAGCTGCCTACACCAGGTCATGGTACAGCCCAGAAGCTACAAGCAGCAGGCATCGGCCACTCCCAGGGCTGGTGCAGCAGGAGATGGGGTGAGTAGGGACAGGCAGAGCCCTGGGGAGTTCAGGGCACAGTGCAACCCAGCGGTTACAGGCAGCTGGTGTCGGCCGCTCCTGGGGCTGCTGCATCCAGGGCTGGGGGGAGTGCTGCTCTTTTACCTCTGCTTTGCTGCCTTGTGTAGTCCCGGGAGCGGCACCCCTCCCCGCACCTGTTCCCTAGTCCCAGCCTCACTGCCATGGGAACCTATCCCTATTTGTTACATTGTAAAGTGGGTCCACTTCATGCGATTTAAATTTATGCGCTGCTCTCCGGGACCGCATGTACTGCATCAGTCGAGGGAAACACGTAGTTCAATTTAGAGAGTGCTTTCCACATCTTCCTGTGGATTAGAATTAGCTTTTTTTGAATTAGAGACAAATACTGAAACTGGTAACACCCAATTTCCTCAAATGCAACTAAAATAATGAATTAACAAACTACTGCTGATATGAAGGAATTATTTATCAGTATTGACAGAACATGCTATTCTGATGAATATGTACATTTTTTATTCATCTTCACCCTTCTCCACCAGATACTGAAGATAGGTATATGTCAGGTTTAGCAAAAAAATAAAATAAAATAAAACAAAACTCAAATTGGTCTATTAGGCACTTACAATTTTGGATTCAGCAACATTAACAATTACAAAATGTTCCTGGTACTAAGACGGTGATCTAAGGAAATGGGAATGTGTACTGAAGCACCCTATACAAATTACTGAGGGGAAATTAGATGACTCCAAGAGATGATTAAGAGGGCCTAGACACCAAGTAGGTGAGATAACAGGAAGACCTATATGAAACACTAAGAACAGAAAGGGCTCTAAAACCGTATACTTTTAGATTTTAGGTGCCCGATTCAGGTGACACATTAGATACCTTCAGCCACTTGGATTCCAGTCTCAGGTGCCTGACAATGGCAGTGTAACGACCTGATGTGTAACAGCTTATTAATTAAAGCTCAGAGGAAATTGATTACCTAGGTCATAGCCCCCCACCCCCCAAAGTCTAAGGGGGTTCAAACCCACATCTCTTAAATCAGCAACCTGGAAAACAGGCAGAGCCAACCAAGAATGGGGCCAGAACAAGAGCAGAAAAAGAGGGATACAGAATTGGTATTAGGGCATCCAGCAAAAGAGAGAGGGAAAAATTCTGGTTCCCCACACCTGAACTGTTTATGCATATTATATTAGGCAGCCACTGGATTTAAAAGAACACAGAAATTACCCTGAGATCAAAGGCAGGATATGGTGTAAAAACAAGCTGATTAAGTTGATACAGTTCATCATCCAAATAAGGCCTTAGTTTAGTTTCATGTTCGTTCATGCCTTGGAAGCCCTGTTGACTTCTCCAGAGACAGGAACTTGATTTTGTGATACAGATACTTGTAGATAAAAAGTGAGTAAGATTAACATATGTAACGTAAGCATCATAAAGCCGCCAGCTGTTAAGAGATTTCTATCTCCAGTCTGTGTTACATTAGAGCTGGTAAGCTATGGGTGAACAGCTTTTCCATTACCAACACTCCAGGTGTTCAAGGAATTCAATGCTGAATGTGCTTCATTCATTCTCTATAAAACATTCCACTTTTTAACAGCAATCTGGTTTGCTTAAATGTAACCTGCCTTTGTGTCTGTTTAATGCCCTATCTCAGATGGCAGAGAGATATAATGCTATATCCAAGTTCCAAAGGTATATTAACTAAACTTAATTGTTTATTATAACTCAAAAAGAATGATAAGGACGCTAGCACAGAAAGTGCCACACTCCAACAGCCTACAGAAACTTAGGCCTATTCCAAGGAAAATTAGTCCCAGTGACTTCAGGGAGCCTCAGGTCTTTCTTTACACTTTCCTGCCCTTGAAGTTTTAGAGCAGGAAAGACAGACTAGAGAAAGGACATCTTGAATCTGCAGTTACACATCCTGTTACAATTAACTGAGGATATGAAAGTTTTGTTTAAAAAAATATTTTAAAGTTCATCAACAAGACTTACATTCTGGAGTAGGCTTTACATCTTTTAACTGGCACTGAAGTCTCTTAACGTTATGATGTATTTTTGATAGTTGTTGCTCAATTTTAGCTCCTGTGGAGGAAGTATAAGAAAATAAATGGCATGTCTAACAGTTTCACTGTGCAGCAAATTCAAATTTCCTATGCCGGCTCTCTCTAACAACATGGAAGTTCTGTTTACATGCAACTTAGGAATTCTGAATGATCTCACAACAATTCCACATCACTGAATACTTCAGAGTATGTGGAATCAACCACATGCTATTGGATTGTCACAAAATTCCTTAACTAGGGACAATGGATTGTTTTAAGCTTTGGTGGCTCCCATTCAAATAGCTATATCCCTACTTAAACCAGTTTTCTCCAACCTCTTGGCAGAGGCCCAAGGTTTAGCAAGCAGGACATTCTCAAACTGGAGAACAAAGGACACTTTCTGTTAATGCTGGGTCTTGAAAAACACAGATCTCATGAGTATGGTAGCAAGGGACATTCAGAGGCACCTCAGAGACACAGAGGGCTAACAGTCTTGTTTAACTAAAGGAACAGGTGAGGAAGATAAAAGAGATGCACAAGAGAGACAGCTCCTCCATTATTCTAAGAAGCCTTGTGCAAGAGAGGAGGAACCAAGGTTTGTTAGAAAAATCTGGCCCAAGCCCAAATAATGCTCCAGAGACGTAAGGGAATAGAAACGTACAGGTTTTTCTTTTGTCTAAATCCTTATATACTTCTTGTCCTAGCTACAAAAAAGTTATCATTTTGAGCCCATAAGAAAGGGTGCAGGTACACAACACAGTTGCACTGGTATTGCCATGTTTTCTCATGTATAATATACCCTCCAAATATAGTGCATGCCCTCTTTCTGGAAGGCCCCCCCAAAAAGGGGGGAAAAAAATCTTATCTTGAAGTGCAGGCAACTACCAGAGGTCTGGGGGCCACACAATGTGGCTGGGGGCCAGGACCTGATCTGAAGCCATGGCAATTAATATTGCCACCATTCCCTTTTCCTTCTCCCCCCAAAATTTCCAGACCTGTGAGGAGCCCTGTTTCTCATGTATAATGCATATACCAATTTTCCCCAGCTGGTTTTGGGGAAAAAGGTGCAGAACGTGTGAGAAAATACAGTATCTGCCTTTATATAAGTGTAAGTTGGGAGCAGGCATACAACGAACAGCCCTACTCCAGTAAAAGTCACTTCAGTCTAGAGTAATGGTACCCCAGGAAAGTCGGAAGTAATTATACACTGGTGTAAATTACTCCAGTGTACAGGTCACATGTCCACACTGTTCATTTCATGCTGGGACAGCCCCAATGCACACAGGCTATTACTGGTTCTCCACTACATAGTTCAGGGTACTGTAACAAACCTACAGCAGAGAGTTAAAAGAGCTGGTTAATCAGCTCTTCCAGTCAGCAGTACAACTTTCATGAACATATAAGCCAATATAAGTTACATCTTTGTAAACGTGTCATGTGTCCACACCAAAGTTTGTGCATCTGTTTGCTTAAAATGAAGAGGTGAAGAGTAAATAGAGAATGCATACGCGGTTGGTGTTCTGGGAAAGGGTATACTTAAAGTTACTGATTAGTCTGGGGGCTATGGCAACTGCACTGTAAGGTCCTATTCCCTGAAAGTTGTAACAGAGTCTGTGCCTAGAATATGTGCAAGAGCAGCCAAGGGAAGAAACAGGACTACTGAAGAAAAGTTTAAATGCGCAAGACTCCAGTGACCTAACACAGCAACTTGGTAAGTGTCAAGCTGGGGCAGGTTTCACACATTCTCAAAGCCATTAATTGTGTAACCCTTTGTTTCAAATCTTCCTGTTATCCTTAAAGTATGCACACCTAGTCCTATATCACTACCCCTTTCATCTTCATCTTCCTTTTCTAACTGCATTACCCTCTTGAAACCTTTTTGCCCAACTAAGTACCTTCTAAATATTTATTTTTGTCTTAAAGCCACGTGGGGAAGAAAAGGTATATATCAGGGGTCGGCAATGGTGCAACCCAGCTGGCACCATGGGCCACCATTCCCCTTCAGTGACAGTGAGCAGAGGCTGTAGCAAGGAAGAACAGCCTTCCACAGGGGCTGCAGCAGCTGGCTAGAGCAGCCAGAGCTGATTGACAAGCTATTACCACAATGCAGACTAGATTAACAGCTGGGGAATAGGCATGCTCTTAGGAAAGTGCAGACCACACCCAACCCCTTTGCAGGCTGCATCTGCCCTATGGGCCATAGTTGGCAACCCCTGGTATATAGGATAGGAGAAAAAAAACCCACCATCAAAAAAGTTCAAACTTTACTATGTAAAATGATCTTACTAGCATCTTCCTTTTGCCTTCTTTTTCCCTTTTCAGCTTGGGCTGTTCAGACTGACATACTATGCAGTTTGTGTCATGTTTGCTTGAATTCTTGCTAGGGAAGGTAATGTGTTTGCCATCCTGTAATTTAGGTGAGCAAAATATTTTCAACAAATAGAAAAAATTTGCCACAAAGGTGATCACAGTCACAAAGCATCCTAAAATTCAAATTTACAAGTATGACCTGAACTTCATCACACTGCTCCACTATCAATAATAATTAAGCATTCATTGGAATAGAGAGTAGAACCCCAGTGTCTCATCTCCCAAGTGTCCTAACCTCAAGGACAGTGACACCACTTCTTTTTGCTTTCTGTATCATGACTCTTTCAGAACCTATACAAAGTAAAATAGCTCTGAAAAGAGAAAAATGAGAGAGACCCTCCTTAGAACACCCTCTGATGGTAATTCAGGTGTTATCCTTGCAGCTCGTAAAATTCTTTAGGGTAGAAAAAGAACTACACTCAGGTCTCCCACACCCTGGTGAATTCTCTAATGACTAAACTGCTGGATATTTCCTTAATAGCTCTTAATTTCATTTGCTTTTCTTACATTTTAAAAGGACCTCAAAATGAAGGATTTCATCTGGGTCTAATGGTACGCTTCATATCTAACAAAATATTACTGACCATTTTTTTCCACTTAGGCAAGAACAATGAAAATGGTTACAATCTGGTTTGTTTCGAACCAATTTTTAAATGTGTTTTAAGCTTGAGAACAGAATAAAAAGTTCATTCTTTGCATAGCACAATTCAAAAGTATTTGCAATGAGCCAACATCTGCAGTCTACCCAAACAACAGGTAAACCTTCTTTTACTAGATCTATCCTCTCAAAATCTGAAATACACATTAGATTATTTGACGCTTGTATTCTTTAGCACCTTCCTCTTTACTTCAAAAATTCAGCAGATCCAGACACTTGTCCACAAAGCACTGTGGAAGACTTTTAGACTCCTTAATTATTTTGTGCTGCTGTCATAAGCTTATTGCATCCTAGGGCAGAGGCACACAAACAAATTATTGCAAGGTTAACAAGTTTTATAGCAAGAGTATAAACGTATAATCCACGGGCTGGATCTGGCCTACAGAGACATGTCACTCAACCCAAGTAGCTCCTAGGATGCATCATGAACTTGAGAGCGGTGCCCACTGCCAAATTCCAGGACACAAGAGTCCTGTTTGGTACTTGCTTTAGTGGCAAGGCAAGCAATGGCTGTGATAGCCCTGGTGGCTCCCTGACCCACCACAGCAGCCACCGTCACCACTTGCCCTGCCACTGGAGATGGGTCCAAATCCAACCCTCAAGGCCAAACAAATTTGACACCCCAGCCTTACATCACATCAACTGCTCAGCAGTAACTGAGCATTTGGATACTCCTACCCCATGGTAAATTAAAAGTTACCTCAAACAAAAGCTGTTTTCAGTCTTGCTCTGTTCCCAATCCATCTGTGTATTACCACAGATCAAGTCTCAAAAAAAAAATTTCTAACACTAACATCAGTAGCACAATGGAACAAGCTGCCTAGGGAAGCTGAAAATCTTGTTCATTAGAGATTTTTCAAAAAAAAGGCTAAATAGACATTTAGCCAGGATCATTTATGAACAAAGGATCCTGAATCTGTGCAGGGTGCTGGACTAAATAAACAGTGAGGTTCCTTCAAGCCCTATGAGTCTAAGTTCTGCTTTACTATGAGGGAAGATCATGCACACAGCAGATGAGCAGTAAAATTCCCAGTTTCCATTACCTTAAAGTAAACTAAAGACCCTCAGCTAAGCTGCATTACATCTTGTTAGGTTTACTTTTAACAGATCCCCAATATGAATGGTTTCCTAAAGCAGTTTTACAAAGACGGGATATTTGCTATACTCTGGATGTAAGACTGCTTAAAAATGGCTAATAATAGTAAATATTGCCACAATGCAGTTCTTACGCCATGCTCCTTATAAATAGCACATAAAAGTATTTTTCTACATTATTGTCAGAATTCACTTCCTGCTTTGATTTGTTCTACGAGTTAATAAACCACTTATGGGAGTGACTATGGAGAAGCAAACAAACTGTGTTACTTTCAGCTTTTCTGCCGTTGGTCATTTTGCGTTCCAGTTCTTCCAGCGTGCTGTATTCCATCCTGAAATCACTCTTCTTACTGTAGAGATGGCCATTTTTGTCTTTTTCTATAGTTGCAAGTCTGAAACAAAAAACTTATGCGACTGAAATCTCATTTTAAAATAACTGAAGATTAACAGAAAATAAGTTTGTGGTCATAGTCATTACCACTTAGAAATCAGTTACAAGAACGCTGACTAGTTCTCTTTATTTTTTGATGCAATAAGGCGAGTTTCATTTAATGTTACAGACAAGTATATCCTTACAGAAAGTAACAGCTCTGTGAAGGGAACATTAATCAAAATAACTGCTTTCAACCTACCTTGTAAATAGTGTTATCATGCCTCCAACAAATATTTTGTTAATCCCAAATGTACGCACCATTTTCTGGGCCTGGAGAAGTACATGGCTTCATTTGCTTTGTACTTAACATCCATTGTTCTAGGAGTAGCCACCACAACACGTCTTACATGCCATTCTCTATCCAATCCCACCTTGCAAGATGTTGGGATTTTAAATAGAAGCACACCGATATAATTGGTGGCATATCGGATTCTCATAACCCATTGTTCATATGCCTATAGTACAGTGGAGGATTCCATAGTTTGATACAGAAGGCAGTCTGTCAATCATTTTGTAAGTAGGTCATGTAAGTAGGTCATGGGGGAAAACTCCAGAGCCCAGTGACTATATGTTAATGACCTAGAAAAAGTTCCCGCCAATTTGCAGCTTCTTTGCACGGTGCATTGCTTTTGCATCTAAGAAATGCTCGGTGCAAAGAGTTCCCGCCAAAGTTATGCAAATTCGTACCCCACTATTGGACTATTCTAAATTATTCCTACCTGGAGGCTAGTGATTGGCTTGCTAGCCGTATAAGAGGCTTGAGCAGTTTCCGCCCAAGTTGGAGAACTCCACATACATCTCGTGGAGAACTCTGAGTACACTGTGGAGCCTAGCAAACTCCACGCGTGTTTCAGAGCGAACTTAGCGGCCTGATCAACCATTAAGGACTCCCCGTCACCGACCCAAGGGGGCCTAGCACACCCCCACCCGAGACGTAAGACGACTGCCGGCCCAAACACCCCGAACACATCTGCAGACCGACCAACATCTTTGTAATTTCTGCCCGACCCAAGTTTGTAACCGTAACCGAAGCAAGCATCTGACCTGCACTGTACGAGCAGTGTAAGTAAACAACCTTTTGTTTAACCAAAACGCTTGAGTACCTGATTCCACCCCAAGCGTCACAAGTACCCGCCCGCCGATTAGGGCTCCTAAAGCCCCGAACCCCGCGCCGCGGCTCTCGGCGGCGACACGGATCAGCACCGATAACAGGAAAATTAACGTTATGCGCAATCGTCTTTTTTTGGCTGGTGTAGCCAATAATGTCACCAATAAATGCCGCATGCATGTGACCAGGAATGCAGCCCAACAACTTGGAGAGCAGCATCTGGCTGGTAAATCTGTGAGGGGAAGGGGCAGGGGGAAGGGAAAGGGTGTGGGAGGGGCAGTTCGAGGCCCCCACGGTGAGGGAGGGAGTGAGGCAGGGGCAGGCACTGCCCAGCCAGGGTGGTGAATGAGACCCCAGGATGGAACACAGGGCAGAGCTGCAGGTGACTTGTCCAAGGAGTGCGGGGAGATAGGGAGGGGAAGTTGCAGTGGGGTAGGGAGAGGGGGCGGCTCCCTGCCACTGTGCACACCCCCAGGGAAGGCATGGCGGGTATGTGCCCCCCGGATTTATGTGCGAGGCAAAGGCGGGCTGCCTGCTGTGGGCCAGGGGCTGCACCAGCCTCTTCCCGGTGAGGGTGCTGGGCCAGGGCTGCACTCAGGGCGGGTGGCAGCACCGCTGGGAGGGGTGGCTACGAGGAATTTTGAGGTGGCCATAGCCCGCTCCATAGCCACCCCTCCCAACACTGCCCGCCCCACCTGCAGCCCCGGCCCAACCCCCCTCCCCGCCTGGTAGAGACCAACACAGCCCCTGGCCCCAAGCCCACAGTGGAAAACCCACCCCTGCCCTGCACACAAATCCAGGGGGCACATGCCCCCTATGCCTCCCCCAGGGGTGTGCACAGCAGCAGGGAGCCATCCTCCCTAGCCCCCATCCCCACCAATGAGCCACCTGCAGCTCCACCCCATGCCCTGCCCTGGGGTCACATTGGGCGCCATGGCTAAGCAGTGCCTGTCCCTGCCCCACTCCCTTCCTCACCATGGGGGCCTCAATCTGCACCCCTGGTCCCCTCCACTTCCCTTCCCTCCCACACACTTACTGGCAGGATGCTGCTCTTCAAGCTTCCCGGCTGCATTCCTGTAAATCAGCTATCAGATCAGTATCAGCCGATATGGTAATAATAATCGGCCATTGGTATTGGCCAAGAAAATCTTTATCAGTGCACCCGTAATTTTAAAATCCAAATTTGAAAGAAAATATTTTTTGTATTTGGAACAAAAACCAGAAGTTTCTCTTTACATGTAATTTCCACCCTCTTCCCAGATCTACTTGGAACTCTGGGGACCACCTCATGGGCTGCCTTGTGGTCTGTCTTAGAGCCAGACTGTCCTGGGGCCTGGGATATTGAGGATCGGGGAATATGGAGGCACATGGAGCCCAATCTCCCAAGAAGCTAAGAATCTGTAACTATAATCTGGAATCTGGGTAGACATGGGTTCAAGTCCTTGATCTGCCACACAACCCTTGTCTGACCCTGGACAAATCACTCATCCCCCTTTTCCTAATCTATAAAAAGAGGATAACAGTATTTCCCTACCTCGTATGGGTAATGGGAGTATTAATACAATCTAAGCAGCCTACAGGGGACGTTTAAGCAGAAAATTGCTTACCATGTGTGGATTCAGCAGTTCATCCTCACAGCACTGCTGTTACAGCTGTTCTACTAGTAGTCCTGAAACTGCCTAGGTCCTGTCAAGTTCACGGTTGCTATTAGAAGCAAGGCAATCAAAGGAAACTACATCCTGGTGGCAGCATGTCCTGGCCAGGCTTCTTCAGCACATTCTATTCACCCATGCCCACTAATATGCTTCAAATCTTGCAGCACACCAGTGAAGCTCTGCGGGGGTCTTTGTCCACAGTTCCCATTTTTCTTGGGAAGAGCCACTGGAGCAGCTTTACAGCATGCTACCAAGTTTGGAAGGTAAGCAGAAGTGAATAGTAGGGTCATGCTTGGAGAAGGGCATATCTTAGCCACAATGCACTGCCCCAGCACCCTAGACATACCCTAAATAACAATGTAACTAGCATTAATAATGAACAAAAAACTAAGAAGCAGGCTGTTCCTTTACGTAAGCATAAATAAGATAAATCTGCCCAGCAGGTAAGTCTGTGGGGAGGAACAGATTGATGCAGAGGAAGAAAAAAATTTGGGGGGGGCACACCTCCCCAGTACCTAAGTCCCACCTGGCCGGGGCCCCACTCAACTTACCCCTGCTCCTGCCTCTGCGGCAATCCCTCACTGCAGGGGCCTCAATCTAGGCCCCGCCCCTTCCTTCCCCCATGGACTGACCTGCTAGGCTGGGGCGCACATGTGCATGCATGCGGGCACTCAGCCCCCAGCCCCAGCCTCAGATCGACTCGAAGACGCTGTCAGATCTACCACAAGAGGCTCTGAGATCTACCGGTAGATCAAGATCCACTGGTTGGTGACTACTACTGTAGGGAATGAAGAGAAGGAAACCAGCAATGTTTTGAGCATAGCAAAAGCATCTTTGGGACCCAAGATTTACCTGGAGGGATAACTTGGGCTAATTGCCACGTATTTATGGGTCTGATGTCATTTCATTCTCCTGCGTTTCTTCCTCCGTTTTCCATTTTAAATATCTGGTGCCTTGAAGTTGCTAATGAATCACACCAGTGTAATTTATGTTGTTATAGTAATGTATGATAGTAATATGACATAATAAAAAAATATGTATGCATGGGGGGAGGGTAAGTACTTTTCTCCTTTAATGGCACCTCTGAATTGTAGTGTGTTTGCTAACATTGTTTATTTCTATTTTTGTGAAGTAGCTTATTTCTTTAGGGTTTGATTTATGTTACTTTACATTTTTTTTCCCAAATGAAATATTATTTATGTTGTTTCTTATTTATTTTTCCTGCTGTTCTTCCATAGTGCCAGAAGCCCTTACAAATAGCTATCACTCAGTAGAGCATAGCAGGGGTAGAGCTGGGAAACTAGCTACCCCAATGCCATTGCAAACACAGATGGAGCTCTAGCGTAAACAGACAAATTTGCTTCAAATTTGCTGAAAAATCTTTGCTTGTACAGTAGAACATGAATCATTCATATCCTAATGACTTGCTGCCTGCTTACTTTAAAACAGGTTTCTGAGGAAAGGACAAGCCTTGTAGCTGTTTGCTGCAGCATTTATTTTAATGGATGCTGCTTCTCCACTGGGCTACAGCACCGTAGCAGTCCCACAAAGCTGTTTTCTAAAGCTGTATATATCCTGTTAGCTTGCAAATGCTCATCCTCACAAGGCCCAAGAAATCTAACCCTACAATTATCCAGGTTCTACCACATTCCAAATACTTCTACAATAAATGAGTGATCTAAACAAGAATGAGAGCTGTGCAGACATTAATGCTAGAAATGGCTAACTTGGCTATAACAGTTCTTTTGTAGTTTTATTGACAGGTGATCTTTGCTACTTTATGAGGTCAACAATGTGGTAAAGAAATGAGAAAGATATGACCAGACACCAATGTGAGAGCAAGCTGTGCTCGTAGCATGGGGAGGAGGAGTGATGGACGCGGTTAGCAGCATTCCCACTCGTGCTGATTGGCAGGGGGCGGGCAGACGCCGCCCGGTTAAAAGGGGAGCGCGCCAAAACAATGGGGGGGACCCGCGTAATATCGGAGAGGACTGATCACCCTCGCCGGAGGTCCTGCGTCTGTGAAAACCTGGACGACCCCATCACGATTTGGTATACCATCTGAGTATGCTCAAGAGCTCCCGAGGAATCGACGAACTAGATTCCTGATACAGCTGTACGAGATTGTTGCCTGAAATAATGAGTAAAGCAATTTTCTTATCTCACTGCCTCCCCGGTGTGTTTCTGTCGACGGAGGGAGAGACAGAAGAAGGAGGAAAGGCCCGAACCCTTTTGTCCCCGACCTACTCGAGTGGATTAGGCTCAACCACCCATAGTTAGGTTGCACAAACAATATAGCAAAACTTAAAGGATTCCAGATTCTGGATCCAGGTCTCACACTCAGAGCTAGACAGGGGCAGGCAAATTCCATTTCCCAGAAGCCCCTGCCCACATGGCTAGGGCCAGTCTCCATGGAGACCCCAGCCACACCTGCGCTGTGATAGTACAAGGCTTGGACTGCCAAGAAGACTGGTTCCAGCCGTGCTGGCAAGGCACACAGCAGGACAAGGGGCTTCTCTGGAGTCGCTGGGATTTTGCAGCGGGGGCATCTTGGTCCGGGGCCAGGGCACAGCCGTGATCTGCAGCCTGTGCACTCCAGGCAGGGACACACAGGCAGCAGAGGACAGCTCTGCCCCGGTTCCTTGCAGTAGTAACAGCCTGGTACCGAGCTGGGGCACAGCTGTGATCTGCTGCCTGCGTGCCACTGCCCAGAGCATGTAGACTGCGTATTGTGGCTCTGCCCTGGCCCTGGACCAAGCTGCCCCTGCCACATGATCCCAGCGGCTCCTGAGCAGCTCCCTGCCCTGCCCTGCCCCGCGCCTTGCCAGCATGGCTGGGGCAGGTCTCCATGGAGACTCCAGCCTTGCGCTATCACAGCACAGGTGCAGCTAGGGTTTCCATGGAGATCAGCCCCAGCCATGTGGGCAAGGGCTGCTGGGAAATGGAGTCCGGCTACCAGCTGGATCTGCCATTTTGCCTAGCTCTGGGCTACAGCCACACAAGGATTGAAAGTTGCCTAACTTAGGGGCCTTGCCACCTAGGGGAATGCAATGCCCAGAGTTTGGCACAAATATACGCCTACATTCTTTTTTGGAAATTAAGAGCCTAAGAATCACAGAAACAAAGGAAATATGCCTATGTTGAGCTTTGCACTGCCACAGCCAGGCTGGGACTGGTACCTGAACTAGCTAGTTTAAAGCACTTTTGTGACTGCCATGTAAATATACTGTAGGAATGATATCCATAGCCACCAGCTGTGATCACGGTTGAGAGAGCAGCTGTCTGAATCAGCCATTAGAAAATGCCCAGATGATACTCAGGCACCTGCTTTTGCTGAAGAATCACAGCTATGCACCCTTTCCTGAAATGAGGTGCCTATGCTTACAAAATACAGTTGGAAAAGGGGGTGTTGCTCCTTTTTAAACAATAGCTCAATGGTTAGGGCACTAACAAAGGATGCTGAAGACACGTTTCAAACAATCCTTCCCCTGCCTGAAGTTAACTTGAATGTACCTCTGCCACCTTCTAGAACAATGATTCTTAATGTTTTTGTACCCCTGGCACCCCTCCATAGCTTTTGTGAATTGTGTGTTAACCAATTTCAAAGATAATTTACAGATTACAGTGCTTACCTCCTTGCAGAGAGGCCAAGATAATTTACAGATTACAGTGCTTACCTCATTGCAGAGAGCTCTGGCAGTAGGATCATCCAGGCCTGAACAAGCCTAAGTCTGCTCTTATCTACTTAGTTTATCTCCTAACACTTCACTTTTATCTTCAGGCACCCTTCAAAAGATCAGGCAGCACTCCATGGTGTCTGGGAGTCTGCTTAAGAATCACTGTTCTAAAAGAATGAAGCTACTGAGTATTCTAGGGTACAGGTTTTCTCCATCCAGCTCACTGAAATTGTCCTACTTTGCATGGAACAACCATTTTTTCCATTGGGCCTCACTTCAGGGGAAGGAAGGGAAACCTGGGTTATTATTCCCACTCTGATGAATATTTAATATAAAATAGTGAAATATTTAGTGGAGCAATAAGTGGAATATAAGTCTCCTCCCTCAGCACCCCTGCAGCCCAGGATCAACTGCAAGAGGCTCCAGGATCTCCTCCCTCCTTTGTGAGTGCCCTAACCAGGAGGATACTGAGATGCCTTCTCTCTGGTTTATATTTAATTATTCCAAGCAAAGCGAATCAGCATCAACAGAAGAAAATGAGAGCACACCCATGTCCCAGAATACCCTAAAGCAGTGGTCTCCAACACTTTTAAGTCGAAGATCACTTTTGGAACTTTAAAGGAATCCAAGATCTACCCTGTTCAGCCACCAGCCCCTCCCCCCACCCCGCCCAGCAGGTAAGTCTGTGGGGAGGGAAGGGGAGGGTGCAGACTGAGGCAGAGGAAGAAAAAAGTATTTGGGGGCATGCCTCCCCAGCAGGAAGTCTGTGGGGGAAGGGGAGAGGGCCCAGGCCTAGCCCCACTCCCTCTCTCACCACTAGGGCCTCAATCTACTGCCCCCCCACTACTCCCCCAACAGGCAGGGTGCGATAGAGCCATCAGCGGCTCGTCAGGGGGTGTGGGGAGAGGGGCAAGGCACACCCCAGGAGGGCATGGGGGGGGTGGGGAAGTGCCCCTGAAATTGCACAGAGCAGGGCAGGGCAGGCTGTAGCTGGGGCCAGGCTGTTCCCAGCAGAGGCTGGGGCCATGCAGCGGCAGCGCTGGGAACAGGGCTACGGGGGCTGCAGCCACCCAAAAATTCGCTGTAGCCCTCCCAACTCCCTTCCCAGCACCCCCGCCGCCCAGCCCAACCACAGCTCCTAGCCTCCACTGGGAACAGCCCGGCACCGCCTCCCAGCAACTGCCCACAGCAGCAGCCTGTCCTCCCCCGTGCAGATCTGGGGCACATGGTCCCTATGCCCTGGGGCAGGGGGGAGGGGCTGGGAGGCGGCGCCAGGCTGTTCCCGGCAAAGACTGGGGACTGCAGTTGGGCTGGTCGGCGGTGGTGGGAGTGGGGTTGGGAGGGCTACAGCGAATTTGTGTGTGGCTGCACCCCTCCATAGCCCCACTCCCAGCACCGCTGCCATGCAGCCTCAGCCTCCACCAAGAACAGCCTGGCCCCAGCTGGCAGCTCCAGTCTGCCCCACCCTGCCCTACACAATCCCAGAGCCACCCCCCGTGCTCTTCTGGGGTCCACGTGCCCCACTCCCACTCACCACTGCTGCAGCTCACCACTGCTGCAGCCCACCACACTGCCCTGAGTTTGGGGGGGGGGGGGGGTATGTGCCCCCCCCCCGATCTGTGTAACAAGGAGGTGGTTCCCACTGTGGGCTGGGTTTTGCACCCCAAGCTCTGCTGCAGCTGGCCTGGGAGCAGCTGGACACACGTGGCGTCGGGCTATTCCTGGGCCAGCTGCAGCGGGGCTGGGGGCACAAAGCCCAGCCCACAGCGGGATCTGCCTCTGCTGGGCACTAATGGGGGGAGGGGGCGGCACATGCCCCTTGGGGCCTCTGCCAGGTGCACACAGCAGTGAGAGCCCTTTCCACCCACCCCTGGACAACCCACCTGGGCTGAATCTTCCCACCACCCACCCAGCCAGGGCCCCACTTACTGGGTTGCTCCTGCACTCTGTCCCTCACCGCAGGGGCCTCAATCTGGCCCCCACCCCTTACTGTCCCCCACCAACTGACCTGTTGGGATCGCCTGGGGGGTGGGAAATGTGTGCACACATGCACGTGAGTGCTCACCGCCATTTCTGCTGGCCAGTGCCGACCCAGCCGGGCTCCTCCCATCTCCAGCAGCAAGTGGGAAGCTGGCTTCAGCTGCATGCCGCTTTTCCTGTCTGGTGCTGACCCAGCAGGGCCCGTCCCATCTAGAGCAGCATGTGGCTGCAGCTGGCTTCCCATGTGCTGCTGGGGACTCCCAGCTGGGTTGGCACTGGCCAGCAGAAGTGGCGGTGGAGCCTCCTGCCTTTTGGGACCAGCTGGTACAGGTAGAGGGAAAGTACAGCAGCACGTGGGGAAGCTACTGCTTGATAGGGGATGGGATGGGCTGGCTGGGCCGCACCAAGGAGGGAAAACTGTGGCTGAGCTCCCTGCGGCTCAGGACAGGAGCATTCCCACAGCACTGGAGGGTGCTGTGCTGGCGAGGGGACCTGGGCTTGGGCTGGCTTCTGCTGTGCCACAGGGGAAGGTGGGGGGTGGGCTGGGATGGGTCAGGACCAGGTCATGCTGGCACCAGTGATGGGCTGGGGGGTTGGTCAGTTTTTGATGCCTGGGGCCTGATGGGGTGGGCTGGGTCCTTGCTTGTGGGAGGGGTCAGGTTCCAAGGCCACCTCTCCAAAAGGAGTACTTCCAGGGGCAAAGGGAGGGACTTCCAGTGGCAAAGGTCACTGGACCTTAGGGGGTGGGACTTCCGGTCCCAAGAGGACGACCAGGGGGTGGGGCTACCCATGCAGCACTCGACAGCTTGCTAAAACTCATCAAGCAGCCCTCCGCCCAAAATAATGAGATAACAACATCCCTTTACTGTTTTAGCAACTAATCTGAAATCACCTCACAAGTCTATCACCCAAAACAACACTATGCAAAATACATTTATGCAGACAATTTTTAACTTACTGATTTTTCAGTTTCTCTGCTGTTCTTATGAATTCAACTTTCTTAACTTGTTCAGCTTTTATCTTCCAGTTCTGAAACGGAAAGTGTTGATGAGCACCTGGAGTGCTGAAGCAGCTATCACTCTGTACAGAACACAAAATGCAGCACTCTTTATTATTTAAACTATTCTAGCATTTAAAAAACTTATTTGTGTCACTGGTAGTAGAGTAAGATAAAAGACCTGGCATGAACCCAATTTAAAAGTACAACTTCAATGTAATTCAAATTATTTTAAATGGCCACATAGTGGCTTAATACTACACTAACAAAACAAACTGAAAACTGTAATATGTTTTTTTTAAAGAAATATAGGAAAATACCAAATCACTGCATGCCACAAGATATGCAATACTATCAGACCCAATATTCTGCCTCTGACCATGACCAAAACCAGAAGCTTCAAAGAAAAGTGTTACTACCTGACATGAGGCATACTTAGGAAAATATCTACCCATAAAGGTCTCATCTGAGCTCCAATAATTAGGAAGTGGTTAAAAACCTGTAGCATAAGGTTTCATAGTTTCACAGTAGCTAGGGTCAGGAGGGACCTGAACAGATCATCTAGCCTGACCTCCTGCCACAGGCAGGAATGAATGCTGGGTTCACAAGACCCCAGACAGGTGATCGTCCAACCTCCTCTTGAATTTCATAGATTTCATAGATTTCATAGACATTAGGGCTGGAAGGGACCTCGGAAGATCATCGAGTCCAGCCCCCTGCCCAAAGGGCAGGAAGTCAGCTGGGGTCATAGGATCAAAATTTGCCCAAGGTACGAGCGAGGACCACTTCCCTGGGAAGTTGGTTCCAGATTTTGGCCACCCTAACTGTAAAATATCGCCTTCTGATCTCTAACCTAAACCTATTCTCCATCAGCTTATTACCATTGTTCCTTGTCACCCCAGGTGGTGCTGGGGAGAAAAGGGCTCTGCCTATTTGCTGTTGATCTCCCCTGATGAGTCTGTAGGCAGCCACCAGGTCCTCCCTCAGCCTCCTCAGTCTCTCCTCGTAGGGCCTGTCCTGCTGCCCTCTCACCAAGCGGGTGGCCCTCCTCTGAACCCTCTCCAGGCTGGCCACATCATCCATTTGAAGTGCGGCACCCAGTAGTGGACGCAGTACTCCAACTGTGGCCTGACCAAAGGTTTAATATCCCTTCCAAATGTTGTAATTACTTACAAACAACTTTGAATATTTCCAACATTACCATTAACTACTGGTGAGTTAGCCTACAATTTTGCAATCCCTACTCATGTATAGTAAGCATGTGCTATACAGGCAGTTGCCATGCTGAGACCACTGCCGATCATTATTTCTTTGTGCTCTCCCATCTATACTCACTTGATTCAATCAGTGCTGAGTAAATATTTCCCTCCTCAGATTATATCCACCTAACACCACCACACAGCAAGTTTAGTAGGAGGTAGCTTTTCTATAGGCAAAAACAACACTAATAATCAAGAACTTCTTAGCATAGATAAACAAGACATTTGTCTTCCACATGCAGTAGCTACAACCAAAATGATTAAGGCCTTGTTAACCCAAGAAAACAGCACAAGTTCTCTCTGCTGGAAAGCTATGGGGAAAAGAAGCAGAGAACTTGTAAGACACTCGCCACTGACCTAAAGGTGTCACTAAAAAGAATCAACTCAACAGAGGCAGGACATTCCAGTTTTTAATTCATTTTAACTTTATCAGCTGAAGAGTACCTAGTAAGTATGTGATTAGTATTACCCTGGTTTAACAAAGCCCCTTTTTTCTTCTTTAAGGGTCACTCTTCTTTCGTATTTGTCCTTTTGGACAAATAAATGTCCCCTAAAAATATAAAAATAAGATGTGTACTCTGCTTCATTGGAAAGCTTTCGTCCCTGTCAGCTTCTTCATTGGTACTTTATATATCCCCTAGGTTAAGGGTGTCAAAGATATGGTTGGCTCACGGAGCCACATAATCCAGCTCGGAGTGCTGCCTGTGGGTCTCAGACCTGCCCCATGCACTGCCTGTGGCATACGCTGGCCCTGCTATGCACTACATGTAGCGCACAGAACCTATACTGCATACACTGTTCATTGCGTGGAGGCTAGAGCCGAAATGAACAATGCACACAGCACATGGGGCTGATCTGGGATGTGCCAGGCACAAAACACACAGGGCCAGGCCAGGGGGCGGCACACCGCATGCACAGCTTTTACTGGATCGGCCCTATACACTGAATCCGAGGCAGTCTGCATCTGGCCCAAAGACCAGCTATGCAAGCCAGATGCAGCGCCAAGACGATCTGGCACGTGTGCCACATGCAGTGCACACCCCAGCCTGACCCCATGCCCTGCAGCATGTGACATATGAGACTGGTCTGGAACGGGTTATGCGTGGCGCACAGGGCTGGAGCCTGCATGGGCTACATGCAGCATGTGGGGCCAGTCTGGGATATAAGAAGACTTATTTGCTTACTTATTTGCACATTTTTCACTGTACGATCATTTTTCAGCAAATACTGTAGAGCATTTTAAGCTTCTAATACGATCGTTTCATATTTAAGACCCAGCAACGCTGCTTCGGAGCGGGGCCGGGGGCTTTGGGCCATGCCCCCCACCCAGGCCACGCCCCCTCCCCCACACCAGCGTAGTCCGGGGCTCGTGCTTGGAGCGGGAGAAGAAGCGGGGGCGGCGAAGCCCACACCGCGACCCAGGAGTTAGCACGGCCTTTACCTGTTGGTGGCCGGACGCCGCCGCTGCCACAGCTGTTGCTAGGGCCGCCATCTTGAAGCCGAGCAACGATTCAAGGCCCGCCCCGCTCCTCCCTCCCCCTTCCCCCGGCTCGGGCCTGGGGGTGGGACTTAGGAAGGAGGTGTTCCTTGGCCCCGCCCCTTTCGTCTCAAGCGTGGCCTAGGGGCGGAGCCAGGGGGACCACGCCCCCAGCGTGTTAGTGGCGGTGCACAGGTGGCAGTGTGTGCGTGTGCGCGCTGCTGCTTGTGAAGCTTCGCGCTGCGCCTGGGCGGCCCGGGCCGAAGGCTGAGCTGTGCCTGCGGGGTCCCACTTGGCCCGGGCAACCTTCTGCGATGGCAGCGTGATACCCCGCCATGCGTCCTGCTGCGGGGGGTGGGGGTTCACGTCCCTCAGGGGCTGCAGTTCCTGTCTGAGCTGCTGGTCCTGAGACAAGACCCTGCCGTCCTGGTGCCCACCCAGCTACAACCAGCCCTTCCTGGGCCTGCTCCCCTGCTCGGTGACATCAGTTAAAAGGCTCCCCCTGGTCTGGTTCAGAACCTGTTTCGGACAAACAGTTGCCTGCGAATGCAGGAGGCTGGACTAGATGGGCCAGGAGATCCCAGCCAGCCCTGCATCCCTTTCCCAGCAAGGTCGCCAGTCTACCCAGTTTATCTGGTGGCTCCAGCACTCAGTAAAAAGTACCACAGTTTAGTAAAGGATGATCAAATGTTGCATCAGCAACTCCAGCTTGCCACAGGCTTACATGTTAGTGGTGAATTTCATATGCTCGTATAGACTGGTATTCACGTCAGTCTGGGGTTCATGTCAGCTCCGTCACCGAACCCAAAAGGAAGGTTCTGTGGTTTGGAGGAGAAATCTGACCTAGGCGTGGAGTCCGGACCCCTGAAAGGACAGCCACTCAAATCCTGAAGAACGTTTATCAGTGATGAGGACGGAGAGAAGTTTTGAGTTCAGGGTTTATTTGATATTAGATCTGCACGGTATCCCTTGTTCCATCTAAAGTAGGTTGTGACTGCATTAAAAACCCCATGAAAAGACTATCTGTTAGCTTCCACTGTTGTGCCCCATGAAAGGGTAAACGCAAATTAGAGCGACTACAAGCTTGGAGCTCTAGGAGGATTGTGCTTAAGCTATTGGATGCGTGGGGGAGCCAGCATTAATCTCAGGTTCAAGGTGGTTGGGCTACAAAGTCCCAGGTCCCAGAAAAGCAAGCTGGATGGCACATCTGTACCTCAAGAGTGTTTCTAAAGGCTAGAAGCCAATAGCAGTGGCCAGACTAAACAAGTTAAACATCTGTTGAGATCTAAATACAGGTCCCTGGTGAATGTACAGCCAGAGGAGTTTGACCAGGGCTGTAGCTGAGTTACAAGGTTGCTGTATAGAGAATGCTGAAATACAGAAAGAGCGAGTGGTGCTTGTCAGAGATTACAGTACAGTTACCACCTCCCCCTGCCCCACCCACCCTCTACAACTTCATCCCCTTCTGTAAAGTTTGTGGCTTAAGTTAGCTGGGGAAAACAATACGTGCAACTAATTTGGTTCTGTCTCTTGGTTTTGCAGGGGATGTAGAGGCAAAGATATCTATCTAACTAATACTTCAAAAAGTGGAGAGATGTTAGCTGTTGACTCGTACCCTATTCATTTTTTTAATTTAGATTTTCCTACCGATTCTTTGATGCAGGAAGGCCAAAGTACATCCTTCATTATAGTGCAAATATAAAATAAAAAGTTTTTAGTTTTTCAGTGCATTTTCAAGAACTCCCAAGATCTTGTTGGTTTTTTCTTTTACTCACATTCCAATTAAACTTGAGCTGTCAACTACATTTTCTGCCAAACAGAAATTATCTATTCAAATAGTGGTTATGCTAGCTAAAAAGACTTCATAAACTGGTGCTTTTCCCAGCTGCAGCACACAAAAGCATTCCCAGATGCTAACCAAATGGCCTGTGCTGAAGACATTTTATTGCCTAATTGATGTTTTTAAGAGCACTTTCCTGCTGTATTTTTCCTTTTTGTTTTTATGACTGCAATTACATTTGATTTCTTTGTGTTAGTGATTTCTATGTAGCCAGCCCTGAATAGAAATTAACTAGTAGTGGGAAACGTTTCAAAACCTGAAAATAGTCATCAGTGAAAATTAAGGAGGATTGTTCTCACAGATTGCTACCTGCAATGCCCTGAAAAAATACATTTATTCTTTCCACCAAAATATTTCCAAGTTTTCTTTGTCTTCATGCTGCACTACTCTGGTAGAGACAAGTTCCTCCAGATAGTACTTGCTTGTATTTGCTTTTGCTTCAACTGTTTGCAGTTATAAGCCATATATTAAGCTTTCTTTTACTGGATTTAGCAATTTAGCTGTTTAGGCAGTGACCTCCTCAAAACATCAGTCTTCAATAAGCAGTTTTGCTCCAATATCTGAATGATACTCTTGAGTAAAGCTATCTATAATTCAGTTGTGCCGACTCACTTCATTATGGAAAATCCATATATGATATTTGTAAAACACATTCCTCACATATGGCCCAGAATCCTTTGCATCATTTCTTATTGCACTTTGTCAGAGGTACCAGAGTAATCGCAGAATAGGTATTTCTGACATCTGGGTTGGACAAAGCCTAGCCTCTCAGTATTCCCAGCATCTGCACTGTAAAGTGGTCATTACATACAAGTCACAAACTGCTGAATCTACTTCCACTACAGAATACTAGTTTGATGAGTCAAAGGAGCTCGGTTAAAATTCTTTCTATCTAAGATTGTATCTTCAGGTTTTTCATTAACTACAACAAGTTAATCACATAAAACTAAATCCTAACATACTTACTCACCTCTTAGTTTAGTCTTGTGTTACAAGCTCTATACAAAGTGTTGATTTGCCTGAGAGTTTATCCTTAGTAAGGGCTTTGTTATCACTGAAGGCCAAATATCTAACTAAAGGTACATACCTGATAATGTGTCTCATTTACTACCCCTCAGTTTATTTAACATGCACAGTAGGTGCTGTTGCATTCATCAGGAGAAAGAGAGAGTTTCACATTTAATATTCATTCTGTTTTAATGCTGGGGGATTTTGGTTTGGGAGAGAAGGGACTTTGCCAATTAGAGGATAGTGCGATTAACATTTTCAGAAATGGCCACTGATTTTTGGGTATGCAGCGTAGTATACTGTGTCTGATTTTTAGACGTACCAAGTATTTCTATCTTCCATTCGAGTTAAGAGGAGCAATGAATGCTTAGCATTTCTGAAAAATCTAATGCTGTTCTCTATTATGCCAGGGATGAGCTCTGGATACAGCAGACTGGAGGAATAAAAAAATTAGCTCTGTGACATACTGAACTCTCCAGACTTGTGTTGTGTGCAGTTCTGACAAAAACCTAGATCTCGTCCAGAGGTTCTAAAAATGGTGTCTGCTAATATATTTGTGCTGGCCAGGGGGCTTTAACAAAGCTGAGCTTTAACAAAGTTGAGCTCTTGAAATGGCAGCTATTGTAGCAGAAATAGTACTGAAAACCAGTATGTGCTATCCATAGAAGAGCTGTTTAGCACTGTTGATATCAATCTGGCACACTTTACATCCACATTTTACTGTTTACAATGATACAAAAGTATTCATATCACTGCTGCAACTGCTGTAGGAACAAGATTATTTCAGTGGTTAATGCCTAGGGGCACTTGTACATGTGACATTCTTTAATCCTCACTAAATTAAATAGGTTTATTAAAACCGAAATGATTTGCTACATCTTTGTTTACAGATGACAGCCTTTAAATCGAATTAAGCTCAGTGTGCAAATCACAGTAAATTACAGCAGGGGGAGCCACATAATAATCCACCCTGCTGATCTCTTTGGTACTTACTTGCAGCAAGGGGTGCTGGCAAACCAGTAATCCCCTAATTCCCTAAACATACCCCTGCTCCCTGAAGCTATAGCTGCCCTCATGGAGCCCCACATCCAGAAGGAACTTTATAAATTAAAACCTTTACTTACTACAAACCTTTATTTATATATTATAAACCTTTATTTATATAATATGCAACTATAAAACATACTATTTTTTGGTTTTTGCTTAAAAAAATAAAAATAAAAAACAGCCAACATAAATAAACTTTTCCCCAACTGGATGGGGCCAGCTGGACCATGATATCTTCTATTTCTACTATTCTTTACCCTATTATTTTCTATTTCTATTATCTTCTATTATCATTTTCTATTTCTATTACCTATCATCTTCTATCTTGGCAGCCACATCTCTCAATGGGCTACCATCGATGAAGTCCAGCTTTGGGTCAGCTGCGCCAATTCCGCCTTCTTCAAGCTGCAACAACATGTCTTCAAAAATAGAGACCTTCGAAAGTCAGTGAAGGTCCTGGTTTACAAGGCTGTCGTGCTGGCCACCCTCTACTGCAGTGAAACCTGGACCATCTGCTGACACCACATTAAGACCCTCGAGAGCTTTCACCAGCAATGCTTGCATTAAATCCTGGGGATCAAATGGGAGGACCACTGGACCAGTGCGAGCGTCCTTCGTGAAGCGGCGTCCACCAGCATCGAAGCCTTGCTCTTGATAAATCAGCTCTGATGGATGGGCCGCCTCCCTCACCAGATTCTCTTTTCCCAGCTCTCCGTTGGTCAACGCTCAAAGGAAACGGTACAAAGACACACTCAAGGTCACCCTCAAGCAGAGATTGACACCAATGGCTGAGAGGAGCAAGCTGCTGACCATTCAGTGTGGCATCACCTGGTCCACCAAGGCGCACACCACTTCGAGGCCCAATGAGTCGATACTGAGGCGGAACAGCGATGGCAGAGGAAGGAGAATGAGACCAATCTGAGGCTGCGAATCCCACTCCCTTGCACAACAACATGCCTCCATTGCTGAAGAATGTATATCTAGAATCAGACTCCTCAGTCACCTGAGGACCCATCAAACCTGACAGATGTCATCCTTGACTCCAAGCGATTGCTGACAATCACTCAGGATGCAGCATAGCCCAGGGGAGGAGTCTGAGAGGATGCCTCCACTGTGCATGGGTTTTCTGGAAGGCAATTAT